ATCAGACAAATGGAATAAATTCGATAATTAAATGGGAAACTTTTCGAAAAAAAATTTTTATACAGGGTATTCCAGAAACAGCTGTACGGTCATTACCTTTATTTTTTTAAATGGTATGTCCCCTGCATATTTAGACTGGTGGACAGAAATTTTACTCCGAGCGGCATTTCGTGCGACATTCGGCAACTTGAGGTTTATAGGGTATTTCGACCCCGCTGAATCCGAATCCGGATGATGCCAAGCTGAATTTTTCCTCCAAAGGCCTCAAATTCAAGATGGCGGCCAAACTAAGGGCCTGAGTGACATTTTTCTTAAAGTTTATCGTTATTGACCGGCGAGATGTCGTTTCATATGTTTTTGGGGTACCATAGTTCAAGATGGCGGCCGTCGGGGGCCTAAATACAGAACTTTCAGAAGTTGGCATATTGTTAAGTGCGGCGTATCGGCATATATGTTTTTGACGTCGACTAGATCAAAAATTAGCACCAGGAATCGAGTAAGCAACCGGAAGTACCGTAATCCAAGATGGCGACCGGTTGGGGCCCAAATATCAAACTTTAAAAATTTGCTATAGTATGACGTGCTGGGTCTGACCACAAGTGTTTTGGAGGTCGCTGAACACGAATTTGAGGTCGGAAAAGCGATAGGAAACATGTTAACACAGGTTTGTCGAAATAAAATAGTACAACTATACTTTGAGGGGTAAACAAAATGCACAAAACATTTTACATGAATACATCATCACTGTCATTGTTTTTTTCGCTGTTTGCCTGACACTTGCACAACTTGGTGCAGACCTCTCTCTCCCGCCTGCACTTGCACAAGCCTGTGCCGCACCCTGACCTGCAGCCACAACTCAGTAACTGGGTGCAGGACTTGGGCACCGCTGGCAGGGTGGTGTAGACTGGAATGTAATTCTCCTCTAGACGCCATCCGTACCGGTAACGATCAAGAAGGTCTGGCCTTGCTATATGTGCATTCAGCTAGAGTGAATTTCATTGGTTGAACTAGTTTTCTGACTGTTTTCAACCAATGAAATTCTCTCTGATTGGTTTGTGATTGCTGTGCGAACAGACCCATTGTTATATTATAGTGAGCGTGCCGCAAATATTTTGATCGTAATAGGATAATGCGTAATATAAGGTCTGTTCTCACAAGTGTCTGACAGTTTGCAAAATCGGTAACTTAGCTGAGCGATTGTTTCTGTTGCAAACTTAGAGTTTTGTGAAAACAGACCTATAATTTCTTCAATAAATAAACAAGTAAACTTATAAATCGTTCCATTCACTTGCCCTTTGCCCTTATCCCGTTACTTTATAAAATTGTGATAGAAATAAACATCATAAAATTATAATTTACACCTATGAAATGGGGTTTCTGAGATTTGCGAGATCTCGCAAAATACCGAGATCTTGCAAGATTAGACATCTTGAATCTCGCAAATAACGAGATCAAAGTTTTGCTGCAAGATTACATTTCCTAACCAGAATGTATGATCGGTTTTGCTTTTAAATCAACCGTTTAAGTTTTACAGTCTCTCAAAGATGCGAAAAAGGTAATTTCCAACTGTCAATATTTCCGAAGGCGAACAGCTTTAAGGAATAGGGCAGTATTATGGGTATTATTGATTATAATAATTAAACTATTTTTAATTATACATACCTACATAAAATACTCGATATGTAAATGTTGAATAATCAGTATAATTTAAACAATACCTAAGCAATCTGCATACCTATCTGAATACAGTTTATGAATAAAATGGAAAACTTATTTCATGTGTGAAAGTTTTCAAAACATTTTCGGGGGAAATTAATTCTCAGCTGGCACGCTCCGCCGCACTTACTTAATATTATACTTTTACTGGCAGCTTAGTTATTGTTATTACATTTGTAAGGAGTCTACTCCCTGGCGGAATTTTCAGTGTATCTATGAAAAACCGCAAGCTAGGAATGATATAAGAAATGGAATAAAAATTAAAAATTTTGGCAATAACGCTACATTAAAAAAAAAAATCAATGTGAATGTAGCCGGCCGAATTTTGAAAACTAATTTTACCCAAATAAATTAGGTTCTTAAACTGTCAAGTTAGAGTTTGGTCTTGAGCCAGCTGGCATCAAGTTAAGTATTTATTATTATCAAAATATGCGATGGGTCCCATTATTATCCATACCTTAATGAATTAAGTATAGGTTTCCAATTTTTTTTTTTTTCTATTTGGGCTTATTGTATTTACCTAGCTATGATTTTAGAAACAATATCCAATATTCCTTGATGTTGGTGTTCTAGTTTAAGTTGATCTAGTATTCGATCAACTTCAGTACATTTAAATATATATTTATGGCGATCACCGCACGTGGTTGCGATACACATTATTTTTTTCTAAGAAATTACAATTAATATAGCATCATTGCCGCCGCGATTGCTACTACGAGTCACGACTGCGGTTTTGTGGTTAGATAAAACCAAATTATCAGAGAAACTCTTATCAAAAATAGAGATATCTGTTGCGATATCTGATTGTATGAAATGTACTTGAACGAATGTTGAAATATCGCGCGCATAGAAACACCATATCGATAAAAATTAACCAGCTATCAGCCGGAGGTTAAAAGTTCATATTTTATGGTGCCCTTTCAACGTAGTCTATTTTGACCTATTTTGTTTATTAATGGCAATTTTTTTCAATAAATTTAAGTCAGTATTCCATCGTGACTTTGTCGCTTTTTGCAGCTGCGCTGTAACTTTCTTTTGAATGACTACTGCAAAAACCTTCAATCAAAAACAAAAATATGAATTTAAATTCAACATAGCTGCAATGTTGAAAGCTCCAGAATCACGATAAACCACATCACAGAAATAAATCTTTTTGGTATCGAATTCAATCCGAAAAATTGCTGAATGCAGCTGATCTAAGATTTGTTTCCAAACTGTCAGAAAGCATCGCCCATACATGTTCACAATGTCATCGTTCCAAGATATATCGGTAACTTAGCTGAGCGATTGTTTTTGCAAAGTATCAGAGATTCTTGTGAGAACAGACCTACAAGCAGCTACAAGATGACAGCAATAAAGTTTAATTTGAGGTGTGTTTGACACTTTTCTCCACTGCAAGACCGGACTTGACCTGACTCACTCAAATGTGAGTTATTCTCATTAGTTTAAAATTTACATGTTTCAGGTGAATGTCTTATTTGAACAATTCAACAGTATATTGGTGGGTAGGTCCACCCATAAAATCCGCAACAATCCTCTTATTTGTACTTGAACAATAACTTATTATATAAAGTCAGAATTTGTAAGATAATGATTATTCACTTTTTGTCAATTCGCCTTTCAACAGGAATGAGTAATGTTACTTTTCCAAACTAGTAATATATTGTGACAAGTTATTCAAGTACAAACGAGTGGATTGTTGCGGAACTTATGGGTGGACCCAGCCATCTATTCACCAATATGTTGTTCAAGTACAATACTATAATACTAACCTGATTCACTCAGTTATGAATTTTTCTCATTAGTTCAAAAACTACGCGTTTCAGGCGAGTTTTTTTTTTTTTTGAACAGTTCAACAGTATATTGGTGAGTAGATTGCTGCGGAACTCGCTGCGCTCGTCCCGCAGAGGTTCACCCATAAGTTCCGCAATAATCCACTTATTTGTACAGGGAGTTTTTTTATATATTGACACCCCACCTACCTCCTTTACTTTTACATGTAGAAAAAAGGTGTAAATACAAAAGTTGTACAGTTTTGGCTGAATTTTTAGAAACCACGGTCAGAAACAAAATTTGAATGTCAGAAATGTCAAATTTTGCATGCTTCCAGCTTTTTTCAAATGGGATGCCCTATATTTCATTCTATATTCTTGAAGAGCACAATGCCCCGATTCCAAAAATATATAGTTTGTCTATATTTAATTGAACAGTCTCTCATATATTCGGCTCCAAAAATTGTAAAAATACTATCCTACTATACTGATTTTGTGAACCATTCTACCTGTACAGGTGCAAGCTGCAGGTAAAATTTGAGGTAGGTGCTTGGTTTCTCTGAAGGTATTTTTAAAATTTTTAGAACCAAATATGTTGGAGCCAGCTCAACCAAATATAGACAAACTATATAGTTTTGAAATCGGGAAATTGTACTCTTCAAGAATATTTAATAGGAATATGTCATGTGTCTTAATATTAATAAACTATTTCTCATAAGTAGTATTGGTGTTTGATTTTCTAATGCAAGTTTTAATAGTCTAATACACAGTCTAATGATTTAATGATTTGAAAAAGCGTAGTTAAAAGTTAAAATAATTAATTGAGTATATCCTAATGGTTTACCCCTTTAACAAAGCAAATTGTGAACAACCATGCGTCTAAGACCTATTTGCACATTCGTCATGGTCCAAATTGACAAAAAATCCAGTTGGCCGCGACCTCGTAATTTTTTAATCTCTCAACCAAAAAAAATGACTTGAATTTGTTGTCTATGTCACGTTCATGCAAAACACAAAAAGCAGTGGATGTTTTGAATCTCAAACTTCCAATTCGAATATGAAAGGCGTACGAGTAAACAAAAAACAAAAAATTAAAATTTTAAAGAATTCTCGCACTATTTCTAGTTGGATTTTGTAGCACTTCGACTTTTGAAGTGATATACTAGAATTTAGGAATTCAAACTCAGTGAAAAATAATATGTCATACAATTATTCTGATGCCAAGCTAATTACGCAAAAAGCATAAAAAATTATTGTCTTTCTTTTGAAATTTGAGAAGAAAAGTTTGATAGGTAATTTTTAAGCATCAGGTTTCAAACAGGTAGACACCACATATAAATTTGGAATAATTTGGTTGAACTTGCTAGAATTCCCCACGGAAATTTGCTTAAAATGTATGTAAATTTAACTTCAAACCAGCTCCTAGAAACAAAATGGTGGATGGAATACTGGCTAAACTCTGTCGTATTGGAATCGACTATGAGATAAAATTAGAAAGAAAATTTAACTTACATGATTCGATCCCACGGTGGCCTTAAAATAATGTGGCACATAACTTGAATAAGTACAGTCGGCGGATTTTTGTTTCCTCTATCAAACTCCATTTGACATATGCGCAATAAATGTGCCATAACGAAAGAGAGGCACGACTTGTGGTGTTCTGGAAGTTCCTTTATGAGTTGCTTCAGGACAGCTGTACATTCTTCGTCACTTTTCTTTTTTTGGGCTTCCAAAAATTTATCATACCATTGTACTGGTACGATAGTATCAGGTAGTTCTCGAAGATATTTTTTGATAACACCTGCGATAGCAATTGGACTAAATCGCGATAAATCCAGATTGTTTATATCGGTGTCAATCATTTTAACCAACTTGTTCACTTGGTCTGCTGGTGGAGTGGCACTATACATGTTATAAAGCTCCAAAGTTTCATCTTTTCTCGTTCGACTTTCCAACTCTGCAACGCATTTCATCAGTAGCAAAGGTGCAGGGGTTTCCTTGGATGGATTGAACTGCAAACACAGGCCTTGACCAAAATAGGAATTGAAATGAAGATATTGTGTTTTTTCATTGTCTGAGGCAGGCCTTCGGCTACATGATGGTAAGCCGTTGGCAACACAAGTTCGATGTGCAACTGTTCCGCAAGTTTGACAAATAAATCCTTGATGCAAAAGTCCTCGTAAATACTTGTTACATTTCTCGCATCTTTCCAACGCACTGAAGCTGTGCTGTAATAGGTTGTGAGGGTATCCATTGGATGAGCTGGTACTGGTACCCTCGCCTGCATCAGTTAAGTCAGGTCTTTGTCCTTCGGATTTGTTCAAGAGTTCATCTATGCAACTTAATATGGCTTTCTGATGGAATTGATCTTTTATTCCCATTGCCTAGAACAAGAAACAAAAATTTACTTCTTGTATACTAGTTTACAAACAGGTCTTCTAGGTCCATTCTCGAAAAAGGGGAGCAGCGTTTTTATGAGAACGAAGGTTTTATCTTCGTCGCCCATACTCATATTTCCATACCATTGACAGAGACAGAACAATCGTTCTCATGAGAACGCTGTTCCCCGGTTTCGAGAAAAGGCGTCCTGGAAAGTTTAATAACACTCCACATTGTTCTATTTGGTAACCAAAAGTAATAACTATAGTCGCCGCCACCGATATTTGAGATTCTTACAAAAAATAATTTCTTTGTCCGTGATGCCCCGATAAAAAAAAAATCGCAGCAAAAACTCTACAGATAAGGCTTACGAATAAATTTAGTCCAAGAGCTATGTTCTGGATTCGATTAAAGTACTTAATTTCTTGCATTAAATCTTTAAAAGATCTTTTGAGAATATCGAAAAATAATTTTTAATATTATTTACAATAATTTGAACCGTATAATTTCAAACCAATATAATCTTTTACTCAAGCGGCTCCTGATACGTACTCCCTGACTAAATGCAGGCCGGCTGATAATATAACATAATTTTTTGTAGGAATCTCGATTATCTGTGGCGAGGACTATACAAGAATGAGTTTATCACAGGTTTTGACATCAAGAAAAAAGTCCACGATTTGTAGAGATAAGGGAGAATAATGGGGAAAGGCTGATCAAGATGCCAACAAAATAATCTAAAAATTCTTTATGGATACATTCAGCAAAAAGATTATTGACTGCACTATTGCAAAACAGAGATCAAACATAAAATTCCAGCAAGTGAAAGTAAATAGGGGAGCCACCTGTGGCAGGGAGCACTACCTGATGAAAACAAAAATCTTTATCCTTGCGAAAAACATCGCAAGGGACAACGGAAAGAAAAAACGAAAAGGCAAGATTGAACCTAAAATCTTTCTCTAGAAGAATAAAGCGTAAAGGGTTTGTACATGATAAAAGATTATACCAAAAATAACAGAGTAGTCTGAACTTCCAAAACCTTGAAATGCATCACCAGCATATCAAAGAATAGTATATTATGCAATGATCATGTAATGATAGCGATTAATACACGAGCATGTTGTAGGATACGAAACGAGCCGCAGGCGAGTTTCGTATATAATATGCGAGTGTATTAATGGCCATTGCATGAGAGTTGCATACACTATTTTCTCTACTTGCATTAATGAACGAAAAACATATTTATTTTATAAGAATAGTAAACTTCTCAACTGATGACAATTATTGTTAACAACTTGACAATTTTAAAAATTAAGATCTAGACGTCATTTGGGCCTAAATTTCGGACCCGATTTATAAATTTTTTGTTGTTTCTTCTGGTAAATACTAATAGAAACAATCCAAAATTCCAAAGCATGTTATTATATAAACATTGTTCATGTTCAAAATACTCGATTCCAGTGGCTGAAAAATCTGTATCATAATGAAGTTCATTATGAAACAGATTTTAGGCGTATTATGAAACGTCAGTAGAAAAAGTACATATTCACACTGCAGCATTTGAAGCCCTATAGGCAAATACGGAAAAATTGAAACCACACAAAAACCTTATCGGTGGGCGGGGAAATCAAGGAAACATAGCAGACAAAAAGAAGAAAAACCAACAGGACCTGAGTTCAAATAAAACAGGTCACAAAGAAATATAGTATAGAGACGCACAAGCAAGAGAACGAAATAAAATAGTACAGAAAAAAAACGAGCCATGGGAAAGAAACTGTACGCATATTAAAACTTGTCTTTAACTTCTTATCAAGTTGATAAGAAACATCAGGAAAAAATGTACTTATTAAGCAATGTCTAGTTTTCTCCCAACATCTCGAAGACTAACAAATGTTTCGAAACACTAGAACTACATCAAGAGTGGTCACTAAACATGGGAACTTTTTAAAAAATTTAACTGACCTCGTATCTCTTGCCGTTTCCAGACAGTGAGACATGGTACATATTTTGGACACCCCTATAAGGACGGATGCATTTCTGTAGGTGACAGTTCGGTTAAGAATACATCGCTTTCTGATACAACTATGAACTACAAAAAAAGTCAAACTTACATTCAATTTGTCCCGATCTAAGGTAATGAGATCTGATCCTTTTATATCTTTGCATCGAAATATATCCGCGCAGGGATAGAGGTTTACTGCAGCCATCCATTCTACCACAGTCGATGAGGTCCATTCTGATACTGGCTGTAAAAGAAATAAAATTTTATAAAAAAAGAACTAAAAAGATAATATTATTTGCATTTAAAAATAGGTGGGAAGGTGTTGCATCTCAATTTGCAAAATATAATAATGTTAAATGGTAAAGAGCAAGAGAGAAACTCGTTTGGCCCGCATAGCAACGTGCTCCCAATTGCTTACGACTAGGCCGTTGATGGTCACAAATTTTAGAATAATGAGGGAGCAAGCTACGTTGCCAATTTTCGTATTTGTGGTACGGCGGCAATCGCAAGGTCGGCAAGCTAATAAAATGTCAGTTTCTCGATTTTACAGCTTACTACTTCTTTTTACTGACACTTGTAGTAAAAACCCAGATGGATGAAATTTATAGGCTAAAATCAGAAGAATACGGAAAAGATTCATGTTTTTTTTTTATTTTCAGATGTAAGATCCTGAAAAAGTTACTACTGCTGTTCAACTGCAACAAAAACCAAAATTAAGCCATCTTTCTTCATGCCATAAATGCAAGACTTTCGTAACATGGACAGAACAATGCATAAACCACAAGAAAATAAAATAGAGAACATCGAAAAGACAAAGAAAAGGAGTGCACTTATCGATTAAAAAAGGTATTTGACAGAGTGCCAAGCTGCCAAGGGAAGAAAAATCTCCTGGATATATAGAAAGGACTATACAGGGCTTTCATTTCAAAAACTTGCCACCCACGTTATCTGCGTAGAGACATTATATTTGTGAAAATCGCCGAAACACAGATAACGTGCGAGGCAAGATTCGAAATGAGAGCCCTGTTTATACATATTAGAATACCGACAGAAATAGGTACGTATATAGAAAAAAAATATTTATTTATGTCGTGATGTAATAATAAAATATCGATAAGTTCAAGTAGAAAGCAACGACTGAGATCAAGAAGTGGTATGAGCCCAGGGTTGTTTACTGCTTTCATGGAGAGAATTATATAAAACACTATTCATCAACTGAAAAGCTCCTCAATTAGCTAATTTACTATTAAATAATTATTGTTGTGTTGCTAGGCAAAGAAAGTTTTCCAGAAACAGCCTCATTCCTAAAAAAACAGTGCGTCATGAGATAAACAATGGAAACGTTATCGTATTTGCGGTCAACGTTATCGAATTTGCGGTTTGTCAAGTGAATCATGTTTTTATCGGACATTTCCGTCATAAATCGTAATGCGCACATCCATCTTTATCAGGCGATTTCTTGCCCTTGCAGCAAATAGCTCCGGACTTACTTTTCTAGCACTTGCATGTGCAAGATTCAATATTTTTCGTGTTACCAACTGTACGACATAACCTCGAAAAGTTGTCAATAGGGTTTATTTACCTTTAAACCATGTATTTATAATTTGCTTGAATTTGCTTAAATTTTTTTAATTGAATTAGGTAGGTCTGAAGACAGGGAAAATTAGGCTCGCTCAAGTTGCCCCCCCGACATTCGGTTTTATACTCTTCCTCAATTATAGTCAATTGTGCTCGTTTTGTGCTCAATTGTGCCGGTATTTATGCGAATTGTGCTCATTCCCATGCTCCAAAAAAAAATTGAAACAAATCCGGGGGCTAGCTTGACTACAGCGGTACAGCCCCACGTTTTTTTGACATTTTGGCAATATTTTTGGCTCACTGAATTGTGCCCGTTTTGTGCTCAATTGTGCCGGTGTTTATGCGAATTGTGCTCATTCCCATGCACCAAAAAAGATAGAAATAAATCCGGAGGCCAGCTTGACTCCAGCCCCCGGTTTTTTTTGACTTTTTGGCAATATTTTTGGCTCATTGAATGATGCTCGTTTTGAGCTCAATTGTGCCGGTGTTAAGTGTCTTTATACACCATAAAAAATTGAAACAAATCCGGAGGTTGATTTTATTTTTATTTTGTAATTTTTTCCAGTGGTTGAAAAAATTGAATATCTCTTTTTCGTTTGTTGTGATCTATTATTTAATTTTTTTGAATTAAAATCTAAATGTTTATTTTTGACCACAAAACAGTACAGATATAGTAGACTTTGCCGATAGGGTTCCCACGTTCCCACGAATCCGGTATTCATGTCATTCTGGGAGGGGGATGTTTGTGTCGAACCCGTTTCTGTACTGGAAACTTTGGTACTGGTAACGAAAATCACGATTAGATTTTTTCACGATAATCATCGATGCACAAAATCCAAAACCTAAACAAAACGCAGACCCACCAATAATCAATATTTATTTACCATATATACCAGGCATATCAGACAAAATAGAACGAATCAGTAAAGACTACAACATACGCACCATTTTCAAAACACAAAATACAACAAGATCATAAATTACAAAAACAAAACGCAATAATGGAACTGTTCGCACTAAAAACGTAATTTATAAACTTCCATGTAATCAATGTGATAAATTCTATATTGGTGAAACTCGTACGCCATTACAAAAACGTATCGAAGAACACAAGAACTACATCAAAAACGGGGACTTTAACAAATCAAACATATGCCAACATGCTTTTGACAATAACCATCAAATTAATTGGAATGCTTCTAGCCGAGGGGTAAACCGCTGAGAAAAATATGTACATTAATTCCCAGGATGGTAACTAATTCCTCTAACTCCCCTAATTCCCTTCTAATTTCCCCGATATTTCTAATTCCCAAACTTATTCCCTTCTAATTCCCTTAATTTAAATAGTTCCCAACTAATTCCCTACTAATTTACCAAATTTATCTTGACTATATCGCCCTCATTACTAACATTATTTGTGTTTGCCACATCTTGATCATTTTAATTTTCTTCGGGGTTTTCGTCAACTTCAACGCCTTCCTCGATCTCTTCAACTGTAGCTTTGATATACAAATTGAGAATTTCTTCTTCACATGGTAGGTTTGGTTCTGTTATTTTTATTCCAGGTTTTAGAGAACGAGTCGGTAGGTATGCATATTTGTTCAAATATGTGTGGTGTTTTGTATATATGTCATTCTTCATTTTTTTTTCAATGCTGCAGTTGTACCACTCCCAATCTGGAACTGGCAAAAAATGGAGTAATTCTGTATCTTCTGGGATTGTTTTGTTTTTGTTTTCTTTTTATTCAGGAGCTGAACGAGACATCACATCAGTATTTAAATGCATATCTCGTAGAAGGCGATTATCCGTCTGAGGAAAATCCTAGGAAAAATCCGAGGGTAAATCCCATAATTGTGATGCCAAATTTCTTAGCTTCCTCTTTCATCCATTCCCATCTCAAAGTGACCTGCTCGGTAGTAAATCAATGATCAGTTCCGAATAAGGATAGACAGTATGTCGATGCTCCAGCATATAAAGGTAGAGCTATTATTAGATAGGCATGTACTGCTTGTACTCCAGTTTGAATATACAGGGTGTCCCACTAAGGTCGGCCAGGTACGATATTATGGAGACCATAGACCTTACGTAACTTGAAAACGAATGCAGATATTGAATTGCAGTTTGCGCTAAAATGTAGATATTTTTTTGCTCTTTAAGCACAGCAATACAAAAATAATATTATGCCATTTGGATTTTTCATGAAAATTAGAAAAAACTGGATCTTGAATAAACAGCGCCCTCTAGAAGACGCGGTGGGAACTATCGACCTCGAACGAAGTGGTGTTCTTAATAACAATGAAATTCTCTTCCAAATAAACCCAAATTGAATGAATTTGAATGAGGGGTATGGAAGATACAGCAATTTCTAAAAAAAAAATTCCTACAGCTTCCCCCACCCTTATTACTGAAGATACGAAAAAAAGCCTAATAACCAAACTGGCGCAAAAATTAATGAACTTTTGATTTCTGTTGTTAAAACAGTATCTTAATATAGCGATTTCTTGAGAAAATTGAATTTTTAGCTATATCATCGTAACTGCGCCCCCTAGCGGTCATCCTAGAAACTTGAAAATAATTTCCATCAATTTCTCTTGGCCGATTTAGTGAAGAAAAAAAAATCCCGAAGCCGTAAGGTCTATGGTTTCCATAATATCGTACCTGGCCGACCTTAGTGGGACACCTGGTATATCTTGATTGCTTCAGCAGAAGTGGCAGGAAACGTACCTTGTTGACTCAGGCCTTCCAGGAATCTATTTAGCGTAGAAATTGACGGCAAACTATTCTTCAAATTTGCTTTGAGAGTTTTATAAAATAATCTGCCCCCAATATAAAACAGGTATACTGCGATCGATTTTTTTTGTAGTACCTATCATCGTATCTGTTTCGATTGTTTGAGCTACCTAGTAGAATTTTTGAATTATCAAGTTATATCAGGCACAGATTCATCAGCCTTTTGGACAGTTTCTATTTCACTTATGTTCTCCAAAAGTTTCTCAGCTAGTTCATTATTTCTACATACTTACTAGAAGATTCTCTTAACAGAATTTGGAATTTTACATAGGAAATAAGTTGGTTTCTCGATTGGTTTGGAAGCAAAAGTGCGCAACATAAAATTGGCATTGCAACTAATAGAATCTATTACCGTATGTTCGATCGGAATGCCGTACATTTATACAGTTGTATATTTCTACGGAGAAAGGGTTTATTCCTAAGCCGCGTACAGCATCAGTTCATCGTAAACGCATTAAATGCATGTACTTCCACGAAAAATTATAAAATTGATAATAGCTTGATGAATCCATCTATGTATGTTTCATTGGATACACTGGATCCCTAAGCAGTTCTATGTGATGCGACGTTGACTTGACGGATTTGCTTTTTATAATTCCCCATTATTTCCACCATTCTCTTACTAATTTCCCGAATTTCTCCACTAATTCCCCGACTAATTTCCCAAATTTCCTGAGTAACTCCCATAATTCCCCAGTTATTTCTCTAGATCCCCAATAATTCCTCTAATTCCCCACCAATTCCTCTAATTTCTTACACTCAAAGAAAATGATAGCTCAAATCAGCCAAAAAGAGCATATGAAAATGCGCCTATCCACCTTCATAGTTATAACAACCAGAAATTAATAGTTAAACATATTTTCACCAGAATAATAG